GATCTAGCTGTAGGTGTCCCTGTTCATTGTAGGGCAGTTGGACTAGATGACCTTTAAAAGAGTCCCTTCAAACTGAAATGATTCTGTGGTTCTGTGATTCTATATGCATACAAACACACAAATTTAACAGAAGAAGTGAACTCAGTTGTGTTTAAAAATTAAAAAAAAAAAGTTGTTTATATGCAAATGTGTGTGGATAGCTGCACTTTTCAAATGCAGGTGAAATTGATGTTAGTCTAAATAGATGGGTTGTGTTAATGTAAGATTTTACACTCTTCTGAATGAATCTATTTTAAAACAGGAGCCATACTACCTAACAGAGTGCAGATAAATTGCACTGACCTGAGCTGCTGTATTTTTTCAGATTAACCCTCCATCCTTCTTGAGTCATGTAATACAATCCCATTATCTTCAAATTATGTGCTCAGTTTCTATTGTGCCAGCTTCAGTTTGAGAGTTCTGCCAGATATGTTCCTAGTAGTAGTTTAAGAAGGAAAGAACCTTTTTTTAAATTTTATTTTAATTTGGAATTATGGAATAGATTGTAGTTCATGTTTTGCAGGGAATTAAGAGGCAGAAAAAAACAGCATTACTGTACTATTCCAGGCCTTCAAACCTGTGGAAAAAGGTGCCTGTGACAGCTGTTCCTGATCTTATTTTTTTGTGAAGGGATGTTAGAGGGATGAGTACTTTTCCTTTGTAATCCGTAGTAATCAAACTATTTGCAATATGCCAAGTGTAAAACTATTTTAACCTATTTTATTGACAAAGCAGTGGCAGGCTGAAGGAGGTGATTATGACACTTGTTCCTCCAGAGTATTATACTCTCCTGGGTAAATGGATATGGATGGACACCTCAGTCAAATACTTACACTATCAATAAGGAAATCATTATTTTTCATTTTAGCTGAGCAGTTAAGATGTGATTTTATGTTTTCCAAAATAAAACATCATATTTATAGATCAGTCTTTGTTCCAGACCATGGAAGGATAGAAATAAACTCCATGCTACATGTTTGAAGTTCACTATAGTAAGTAAGAGGAAAAAAACCCAACTATTCCAAACTTTGGATCAACAATTTCAGTATAAGAAGATAATACAAAATATCACTACTTGGTAACACTATCTGATAAAGCAAAATCTCAGCTACAAAATACTATTTTTCAACAGTCACAACCATTAGCTATGCATTTTCACCAGTGATGAGCAAGAGCCTGCATGCCATGCTCATAAAAGTCTGCTGCAGCAGATGTGACCCACTGTAACCACTGCTGAAATGCACCACTGTGCTCACATCCTCTGTTTGGTCTCCATAAATGTTCAACAAACGTTGATGAATGTCAGTGGGTTCCACATGGAGGTATGCAATCAGACTACCCCTTGGCTACCATCTGTAGCACAGCAACAAAATGTAGCAGAGTATCAGTGGGAAGGCTCAACCTCTACTGCCATACCAACATCTGCCTCTGACGTCGTAGGCCAATGTAATAAAATAGGAGACATGACTTTCAGAGCAGCCTTTTTTATATGATCTTGTCTGTATACACACGTGCTTTTTCACAAGTTCATCATACTTTTTTTGTTGTTACAAGGAGCAGCAAGGGCAGCTTGCTGTGAGCCCTCAATAAAGGGAAGGTGACATGAGGGCAGAAAGGCCCAAGCAGAGACCTCAGCTCTGGGGGGCACTGTCTCATGCTGCCTGAGTAAGGAGAACAAAGCAGATCTGCTGGCAGTGGCCAAGCTCAGCCACAAGTCCAGCTATCACCAGACAAGCCCATAACAACAAGGCAGGTTCATGCCTTGTAAAGAGTCAGTGGGTCAGAGTTGCCAAGAGGGGTGGGCAGACAAAAGTGTCCATGTGGGGAGCTAGGGCAAGATCCAAGGGCCTGAGATTTGAGGCTTCTGTCAGCTCTTTCTCCTACAGCTCTTTACTCAGACCTTCATGCTTGTGCTCAGGATTGGGACAGAGGGAAGAGACTGCAGAACTTGGTGGTGCACTCAACCTTATGGAAGAGTATAGTTTCAGGTGGTCAAAGAGGACTCACTGCAAAGCCTGTCAAAGTCATTCCGTTCTCATCTCCACTGGGACTTATCAGACTTGATCAGGTTTTAAGTTCCTTTGCTCTAAGTTCCTTTTGCTATTTGTAGTGCCAATATTAATTTTTTTTTTTCTTAGTTGAGAATTACCGTTTTTTCACTTCCTATTATTTGATTTTCTTGAGCTGGAATTTTTCTTGTAGGCCTCAACTAAGGAGTATTTGCAAGGCATGCAGCTAAAGGAGTGAAAAATGTTGTACTTAAAACGTAGCCTTTGTGTGATAACTAATCAAATGAAATTATAAAGCTGTAATCACAGGGCACTTTAATTTTCGTATGTTAACAAGTAAAGATTGTAAGGAGCCTGTCGCATCAAAAGGAGTTTGAGAATAAGTCTTTACATTGACTAAGGTTTTCCTGACTGTTATCTCACATCAAGTTATAAGGCACTTTTCTCTATCAAGGACAAATCTGGAGGCCAACCAAACCTAGCTTTTAGAAGTGGTGATTTGTTTCTAAATTAATCCAAACAGAATCAGTGTCTTGTTCTATGTAAATTCAGGAGATGGGGAAGGAAGAAGCTGATGAGCATCTGAGTGCTATGCAGGAGACAGGCATGTGAATGGTACTGTCGCTTTCCTGGGCACATCTTCATTCCTCTGGAAAAGCAGAGTAGTTGCTGTGAGGAAGAGACAACTTTCTTTTTGTTTGTTTTGGACAAAACAGGCTTCTTCATACGGATTCCTTTCTTTGAGGCTCAGTGGAAAAAGGCCAACAGAAAGCAGGAAGGTAATCTCCAACTACACGTGACTTGTGCTTTAGGCTGTGTGAGTAGGAAGCATCCTAAATAAAAGACATTCAGTAGTGGGACAGTACCTCACTCCGAACTGATTGACTTTTCCTCTCAGTTGATTTGAGAGCAGAATTTTGTGTTTGAAAAATGCTGGCTGACAAGATCCAAGCCTGTTGTAATGGATCTTGAAGACATGAATGAACAATGCTGTCCTGGGGGCACTGTCTCAAATTTCTCAGAGAAAATTCTCATCAGATTTTAGGGCCTGAAGATTTGAATTTTAAGAATTTTTGGTTAACAGGGGTCAGTTTTTCTGTTTGTAGGTTAAATACAACTTGTTCTTTAACCACTGGTTCCAGGGTTCAGTTTCAGGATGATTTCTTCTTAAAAATGAAACAGATGACTTTATTGAGATGTGAAGATGTCTGCAGTTTCTATGCTCTCTCCATGATTCCTAGCCTCCTCGCTTTAGAAGAAGCAATCATTGCAGGTAGTACCAACCACAGTGAGTTTGGGTCTGTGTGGCCTTTGCAGCAGGACACTTGCCTCTTTCACAGCCTCAGAAACACTTTTTTTTGTGTGACTCTGGCCTTCATTAACTTAGACACTTTCTGGCAGCTTCTTGTTTCTCAGCCGTTCTGTCCTGGCTCTCACTTCTTCCCTGCTTCTTTGGCTGAAAGTGGGGAATTTTGTCCTGGCTGGGTTTCCCCAGGCCAGCAGAGCTGTTGTGCTTGACTGTCATAGACTGAGCCAGAACTCATGCTTCACAGGAGGCAAGACCTCATGGCCCCAAGGAGTTGGCTCCCACTTTGCTTGTGGTGCTGAGGTGAGCTGGAAGACAGCTCCTAGGCCTTAAGGGGAGCTGGCTCCAAGGAGGTAGCTTCCAGCTTCTTCTGCAGGCAGGCCTGCACAAAGCCGTGCTGCTTTCCTTGCCTCCAGGCCCTGGTCACGCCTGGGAACTGGCTTCCAGCTCTCCTGTTCACAGACAGACAGGAGCCGAGAGTTTGGGTTCCTGGTCTTCTGCAAAGTGTGAAGGGAGCGGGAAGGCACCTCCTGGCCCTATCTGTGGGTAGGGAGTGTCTCCTGGGAACCAGCTCTCCGTGCCTGCAGGAGCAAGCAGGAGATGAGAGCTGGCTCCTGGCTGACGTTGCTAGGGGGCTCATGCAGATATTAGGAAGGTATACAGCAGCTGGGAACCTCTGACTTTGAGCTTGTCTTTGGGAGATGTGTTTGCCATTTGTTTTTGGCTGAGATGACTTCTGCTCTTGCATTGAAGTGGGCTTCACTGTGGGAGAGACCTGTCTAAAAGACAGGTACTTCCTCAGATCTTGTTGCTGTTTTTGTGAGTTAAAATATGTACAGTCCAATTCCAGCAACATACTGTCCTTATAGCTGATTATACAAATTGATGTCTTTCAAACAGCATTTGTTCACCAAAAATGCAGTGTACTACCAGAAAATCTGCTAAGCCCATAATAACTGATAGTTCAGTTAGGGTTGCTAGGCTAAACTATCAGCCTTGCATTAAGGTGTGGTTTAACAAACTTTATCACCCTGCACCTCATAACAAAGCAGGGACTGTTGAAGTCTGCTTTTTGTTGAAGGTTGTGATAGGATTGTGTTCTATCTGCCATGTCCCTTCATCCCCTGACCTACATGTGACTATTCCTGTAAGGTAACTGCAGAAAAGTGGATCTTGAATGCTGGTGTTTTAGTAAGCTGCTTTGTTTGAATGTGGAGAACTCTTAGAATAATACAAAAGCCTGAATTGTTGTGACACAAAACTTTTGTTTTTAGCAGTTAGAAAAGATTATGTTGAATATTGGTTAGCTTTGGTCAACTTTTTATAAATTTAATGTCTTTTAATCCTTTCTTGCTTCACTTTGAAACCTTAGAATATTTAGTTGAGTCTCTTCTGATCATATACTGGGCTACTCCACAAATAAGACTATCTAAGAGATTGTATTTATGAAGGTTTCAAAACTTTTAATTTACTATGATTTTGGTTAATAAAAAAAATTAGGTTTATTACTTTACAATATGTTACTGATTCATATGAACAGTATTGCTTTCAGGTTAAAAAATATTGTGATTGTTTATCTTGTATAAATATATGCTCATCTCTATTGCTATTTTGTTATTATATTAACATTTTTCATTTCTTTCCAGAGGATGCTAAGCAAGTTTTTGGCCAGACCACGATTCATCAGCACATTCCATTTAACTGGAATTCAGAGTTCGTACAGCTGCATTTTGGAAAGGATAGAAAAAGACACCTAACGTATCCAGAGTTCACCCAGTTTTTACTGGTGGGTCTTGTACAATAAAGTTTGTCAAAATTAAAATGATTCAAAGATTGCAAAATGCAGCTTTCCTACCAGCACAGTAAGAAAGACCATGTGGGCTTTTGCAGTTGAAGTGCCAGATTTTAATATTGTTGATTAATAGGATAATGTAGTGGTAAAACAGCTGATTTTTGCCAGCTGTTTCTTTCTTTCTTTTTTTTAATTAATTGTCAGCATGCAGAAAGTCATGTAGATGGAGATATGAAATCAAAAACCTGTACCTCAAATTTTGAAAATTTCCTATATTGAATGAGTCAAAGTATGGTATATAACAGCATTGAACATTTTAGACCTACTTGCAAGACTGATATTAAGAAATACTTACATGTATAAATAGCATGTTTACTAAACTAGTATTTAATTCAGTTGATGTCCAATAAGATAATGTTTTACTGCAAGCCCTTTCCACACACTTGTTTCCTTGTGACCTATTTTGAATTTAAGAAGGGGAAATACTACCTAGTTTTTCTTGTAGTATATAAAGAATAAAATACAATCTTTCTTTTACAAGGAATTTTTGCCTATTCACACTTTGTGGTACTCTGTTAGAGAAAGCAAAATATTGTGCTGTTAAAAAAATAAACAGTTTATCTGCATTTCAGCACTACTGTCAAAAATACTCTGCAGTAGGAAAAGTGATTCTTGAAGTGGTGAAATACATGAGATTCTTATTTGTATTCCTTCTGAATACTTAATGCCTATATTAGTATTTACACTGGAGAGTTTTAAAATGGGAAACTGCTTGAAGACTGCAAGGTTTCTTTTTTTCTTGTTTACACAAGTGTGTTAGTTCACAGTAGGAGGTGGTATCATTTTGATGAGGAATAATTAAGCTAATGCTATTGAGACAAATGTTTCAAATTGACTTTGTAGAACAGAGCCTAATTAATTTTGTATGAAGAGGACGTCAGGTATCACATGATTAAGTTGTATTTCCTTAAGTTTTGTATTCACTGCTGCAACTCCAAAGTAGCTAGGAGGTAGACCAATTGTGTGGCAAAACAGTAGACTAGAACCTCTTTGGGATAAAAGAGTGAATATGTTGCTTTTCAAAAAAAAAAAAAAAAATAGTAATGCCTGTGATTTCATGATTTGGTGTTCCAGTACCTCCTTCCATACATAATGAGCCCTGGATACGTATCTTGATTTTGATGAATTACAATCAGCCTTAACTCATACTCACACATGCATCACTGTGTTGGAATACAGTGGTCCTCTTGAGCCAGACAAACCTGTTGGTCATGTTCCCCATATGACAGAAAGAGGAAGGATGAGCATAAACATGGAGAGTAAGGTTGATAGAAAGATTGATAGTTCTGGATATCCTATAGAGAGGTGAGCTGCTTTGAGGAAAAGTTCTAAGGCTGCTTATAAAGTTGATCTCAGCACTAGTGCAGACATCAGGGACTTTCAAGCAAGTTAATTGTCTGAAAACTGCTGAAACAAAGCTGTCTGTTATCAGTACAATTTGTTAGGATGCTCAGTCAGTCACAGATTGGGTACGTCTGTTTACTAATTTTCCAGAACTGTGAAACTTTGAAACACACTTCGTTACTGACTCTTGCTTTGTAGCATTGTATTATACAGTGAAGTTTGGGCACAGAAGTGACTCTCAGCATAAACTGGAGAGTTGATATACAGAGATATATAAATCTTCCTTTAAGATCTGTAACCTTTGGTACTCAGCCTTTCTTTCTGACATTCTGCGTGTGCGTGAGTCAGTCCCCTTGTTCTGATGTCTAGACCTTGCACCTTAGAGAGCAGGAGAACACAGTGGAGAGCAGATTAGCTCTCTGCATTCCTGATTTATGAATGCTCTTTACATTGCTCTTAATGTGGACCAGATGGTTCTGTAAGACACTTCAGGTACTGCTTTGTAAGTACAATGTAATTTGCCACTTCTAACGAAACGATGCACACAGAGTCAAATTCATTCATGTTGGATTCTATTATGCCACATAAAAGTATTACGTATTCATTATCTGTTGTAATGTTTGGGCTAATCATTACTTCTGGCAAAGCTGAAACAACTTGGAAAGTAACATTACTATATTTAATCCATGCACAAGACAGATCTCTTCTGGTTTTAAATAAGAAGGGTTTTTGATTGTGATTTTGGATATTTATATCCAGTCATCCCTTTTTTTTTTTTTTTTCTACACTAACAGTGAGGTGCCCAAAAGTATAGCCTCTGAGATACTTAGCTCAAATATGCATTACAATCTATCTGCATCAACCCAGAGCTCAAGGTGTGTTGTTTTTCCCTGCTTCTAATTTTGCTAGCTTAAAATTAGCCCAGATATCTCTGCTACATATCAGTCACATCTGTATCTGTTTGGATATAGTCATGTTCCATTATCACTTAAATGACAAGTCTGCTTCATGAAGCGTAACATTGGCCCCTTTCCCAGCATGTGAAATCTATTCTGCAGAATGGATTTTAATGTATGCTTCTATGTGGACTTGCTAATTCAATTTCCACATTATCTGGGAATTTATTCATGCCTAGCATATTAGTTGATGAAGTAGTACTCTTTATAATTGACACCCAAGGATCTACTCCAATAGAAAAGACTGTGCTGCATCTGATGCCTTGTAGATCCATTGGGATGGAACCAGAGCATAGTTTTTATCTAACTGGAAAGTAATGAAGTTTATAATGAGCTGTAACTGAAAGCTCAGATAAAATGTCTAGATGGAAAATAATTTCACAAACGTTCTGGTGCCAGCATGCCTACCATGATGTGCAAATTAATTTTTCACAGTCTTATTTGAGCTGAGGGAATTTTGGACTTGCATCATCAAAGGTGAAACTGCACTTCTTGAGTATATCTGGGTTTACAAAAAATCTAGTCAGAGAAGATTCTTTAGAATGTATAATTCATAATGCAAAGCAATGAGGATTGCATTCTTTTTAAACATAATCTGTCTCGGTAAGCAACATTGGACAGAAATAGGAGAAACAAATGTTTCTGGAGATTGTGGAGCATCTTATATGCTACAGCTTTGCTTTATTTTTTCAGTATATTTTATGGTGGCATTTTTTATATTACTGCATGTACACAGCATAGGTAGAGTTAAGAATATCTCATCAAATTTCCCTGATAAATTGCTAGTAGCTGCTGAGCCTCATTTTGAAGCACAGTTAATCATGTTGTGAAGTGTCTTAACTTTCAGACTCAAAGTCAGATGGAACAGATGGCCTTTCTTTCATGCTAAACACTTTAAGGAATTTATTGTGTTGTTATACAATATATAGTTATTAAAGGAGTGACATCTGCCTGTTTTATGGCAGATTTTGTATGAGATATTTAGTTTTGAGACTGAGTCTTGTTTCCATATAATGACCCGAATATTCTCAGATGTTACATCAGTGTGTTGTTCACATCTTGGGAATGTTATGTGAGAGAAGGTCTTTATGCTTCCTTCTGTGTGTGCAACTGGAACAAAACAGTGCTTTGCACAGCTCAAAATAACTGTAGCCTAAGAGACCCTACCTTACCACAAAGGTGGGATGAGCCTTCACTAGCCATCTGCGGGCTGCTTAAGCCATTTCATTTCTGAACTAAAGAGAAGATGTGGATAGAGAACTATGGAAGGCTGAGCTCACCCTATTCAGACCTTTGTCTTGCTGTCTTTTTGCAGCTAAGCACTGTGTCCTGGATCACGTCTTTGAGCATGTGCGATAATCCTCTCTAGTTAGTTCCACATGTACCAAGAAGATGGAAAAAAATCGCATAAGCAAGGAAAGAATGAGATCGTTTGACTCGTACTTGATCGTAGTACTAACAGCCTTTTTGTAATTATCTGGGTGATGACAAGAAATGTGCCCTTCACGTGTGTCTCTGGAATGTGAGCCCTGCTTTCCTTCTGTGGCTATGACATTACCCCCACCCTAGGTCCCACCAACAGGGAGACATAGCTCCCAGCTTGCAGGCTGATGTGCACAGGTGGTAGCAGGCTGGACTTGTGTTCTGCAAGTGGTGTGCCACGGGTCTTTATTGCATTTTAGTGCTGAATTCTGCCAGCATGGGACTGCCAGCAATTTCAGTGGTTAAAATAAATTGAATGAGAGAGAAAAAGAGAGAGAGAAGAAAACAAAATTCAGTTTCTCGTGGAGTCCTTCTGGTAGATTCAGTTTATTTTTCTTTAGTGATGCTACCATTAGATGACTTTTTTTTTTTTTTTGTTAATTTGTTCATATTTTTGTTCATTTTTTCCTATGTTTCCATCTACTAGGTAGTGAGTAGATAGGAATGGAAGTTAATACGCTTAACTCCTCTTCAGAGCTCTGTGCCTCCTGAGTTAGCTGCCTGCTTTAAGCTGACAAGTTGTTTTGCATTGCAGTTCTCTTCCCACTGTAAACCTCCCAAAATTTCTTGCTTCCAAACTCTGTTGAAACTGTAGTCAGAATTGAAATGAGACAGGAGCTTACATAGCTACATCCAGCTGGATAGCTCAGTTGTAACACTGATCAGTCCTTTCCTGTCTGTCCCCTTCCCCTTTACCTTCTGCTTAAGTTATTAGGCGCTTTTCTTCATTTCGTTTCAATAAATACTGTTTTAATTATGAGTTAAGACTGAAATTAGAGAAGCTAGGAGACTGAAATGAAGAGACAAAAAACAGTTTGAATGGCAGCATGCATTGGTGGCTGCAGGCTGGAGTGAGTGAGCATAAGGCTGAGAGGTAGCTGCAGACTTCCTGTGGATGTAGACTTATGCTTGTTGGATTTGCTTTTGGCCTTTCACTCTAAGTTCCACTGAATGTTGCTGTAAGAAAAATACCAACTTTCAGGAGACTGTATTCTGTGAGTATATCATGCTTTTGGTTCTTGACTAATGCAAGTCTTGGCTTAACAGGATTTTGTGTGTATTTGCAAATAGAGTGGAAGTAATAGGATAGTGCCATTGTCCACTGCAAGACTTGGTCTAGTACTGCTGACATGCTTTTGCAGTGATTCCATTTCCTGAGTAACTGATTATTAAAATTCATTCAGACTTAGCACAGAGTTTCCAGTGAAGAAGCTTTTACAAGGCTTGAAATTGAAAGGAGGGACATGGTAATGATTTGTTTTCTTCCACTTGGTAAGAAATACTGATTGGTAAGTCAGACTGCATGACCAACATGTAATTCTGGTTTTAGCAAGCTAGTAGAACAAGACAAAACATTGATATGTATTATTAAGTTACCATCTGTGCAGCATTGTTCCTTTTAATTAAAAGATAACATAACAAAGTGTTCTAATAGTAATTTATGAAGAAAGGGCAAAGGCCACAGTAGAAAAAGACACATTTTTGGGAGATATGAAGTCTTTTTTTCTGCCCTCTCTTTTCTCTTTTCTCAGCATTACATCTGAATCACAAACAGGTTATCAGGTGGTTGCAATAGATGATGCTTGTGTCAGGTCTCTGTTACTACTGCTGAAATATGGAGAAGCAATCTTTACACAGTCTCGATATGAAGAGTTAAATTAAACTGTGATCGTCTTTAATAGATAAATAAAAATATTTTAGATGAGAATGCTTTTTGAGTGAGTATTTTCAGGATTATTGAAAGTCATTCCAGAAATCTCTTATCATTGCATTGTCCTCATTCAAGCAGCAGTGAAGAGTTTTACAGAATGTATTTTGATTTGCAATGGCACACAAAATAAACGTGATAATGAACATCCCGGAACACTTTAATGTTCACACATGGGAGATTACCTCTACTGGTTTGTTGATATATGCCCTCTGTTTCTCAGTTTGAACAGCATGACCTTATGCCCACAGAGCAGAGAAGTCCTGGCTGTTGTTTTTGGTACTGAGCTTGATGACAGAGGCCATTTATGCTACGAATGGAAAAGGCAGAAAGCTATACATACTGTATCAATTGAAAGGATTACATGTAATCATGTTTTGTTAAGTGTGAGGTACTCTGTAGGATTGCATCAAATAAATCTGTTACGGTAATAATTCTGAAGCTAACTTTTTTTTAACATGTATTTTCAGGAGATACAATTGGAACATGCAAAACAAGCTTTTGTGCAGCGAGACAATGCTCAGGCTGGAAGAGTCACAGCTATGGACTTCAGGGACATTATGGTCACTATCCGACCACACATGCTGACACCATTTGTTGAAGAATGTCTAGTTGCTGTGAGTAGCTGTGGTAGCATCATTAGGAAATCATGGAATACAAGATTGAGATCCATTTTTATGTAGTTTGACCACTGATCCAGGTTACAGGTGCATTTTTTTAAGCTTAGCAAAAATTACCTACACATATAGAAATTATCCCTCATTACAGAATATAAATTCTCAACTCCACTGGTTTCCTGAGACATAAGACAAAGCAAGTAGATGGGCTGCTGTGGGGCAAACAAATGTGGAGTTTGCCTGACTATTTCTGGTCATTTTTTTATAGTGGGCTGTGTCAAGTATGTTGGGTTAGAAACAAACAACCCTTTGCATTCCATTTGGGATGTCATCCTCAAAGGACTTGCTTTGCAATTTCAGTTCTGAGTGTCCAAACACCTGTGGCAGTGTAAGAACTGCAAATCACCCAAGGATATTCACTATTGACTGATTGTTGTGTATGCTTTTGTGTATGCTTTTGTCAGCTTGAAATGCATTTTATTTTTTATTGGATGTTTTCTTGTTTTCTAGACACGATTCTATTTCTGTTGTCCATTAAGCAAAATGTTTTTGTTTTTCTGTAATTTTTAGTAATTAATTTTCTACCGTTTCTCACAAGTAAAATCTCTAGGGTTTTGTTTGTTTGTTTTTTAAGAATGGTCTTCCAGCACACATAAAATTTGTCTTTCATGAACTCTTTCTCAGAGAGCATGAACTTCTGTTACAAATATCACGTTATAATACAACGTGATAGGCCAACTTAAATATTATTCATTAAAGGGGAAAAAAAAAAAAAAAAAAGGCAATTTGGTTTTGACCACAGTTTCTAATCTTGGGAATTTGTAGCAAATCTTTCCAAGTAATCTGAAGTCTGGCTTTATCCAGGTTTAAAGAAGACTTTTCTTCTTTGATTTGTAAGAGAGAATTCCAGGGAGATATGTAAAGTGATGAGAACTGCAAAATGGGCAGAATATTGGAAGAAGCATAAAGTAAAAAGCATAGCCAGAAGACTTGTGGACTGACAATGATTTCTCATACCTTCTTCCTCTCTTCTGTTCCCAATCTTGTTAGCAGCTTTCCAGGGTCATATACTTTCTCATAAAACATCAGATGAGATTTTTGATTCTGCCTCAGGGTCAATTAAATTTTGACAAGCTTAAGCATTATTTTCAGAAATTTTGTAGTTCATCAATCTTGTACTTAGTGAATTGATCCAGTTTCTTTTTCTGTGTGTAGGCCCAAGACCACTTCAAAATAAAGGCTTAGGTTCAGTTCTCATTTGAGAATGAGCAGCTATGCAAACCTTGTTTCCATTTTGTTTGACTGCTGATATAAGTCTGAGAGCTTACTGCTATTTTTTCACAACTTGAAATGCATGTGAATTTAAATGTTTGAGTTGACCTCTTTCAGAATGTTTTGATTTTGTTGAGATTTTCTGTATAGTAATATACTTTACATGTAGAAGTAGATTTCCTCATTACTAGAAATAAGCCAACTTATAAAACATTTCCAACTGAAACTGCACTGAAACTTGAACTTTGTAAATTACTACTGGTTATGTTGTTATAATCCTGCATATGTATTTGTTTAGGTTTGTAGGATGGGGAGAGTTTTACATTCTGGTCATGATTAGTTTCAGTAACATAAGAATCTTTCATAGTTTTCTTTATTTTACATTATTTAAAAAAATCCTTTTATACCCTCACTCTTGTAAAAATAACTTTGTTTGAAAATCTTTATTTTAATATTTTTCTTAATTTAATAACCTTTTCTGCTTTTACTTTCTCTATTGTAGGCTGCTGGTGGTACCACTTCTCATCAGGTCAGCTTTTCCTATTTTAATGGATTTAATTCTCTCCTTAACAACATGGAGCTCATTAGAAAGATCTACAGTACTCTGGCTGGAAATAGAAAAGATGTGGAAGTCACTAAGGGTTTGTATAAATGTTTGCAATCTGGAAATTTCCTTGGGCATTTGCTTTGGGTGGGTGGAGGGGAAGACCTCCTCTGTATGCTTTTAAATCAATGGGAGGGAGAGAAAGCCTGCTTTGTTAGTATTCCTCGGTACAACATTCAGTTTTGTACGCTCCTGTTGGAGTCCACCTTCCAGGTTTTTTGTTTTGTTTCAATCAGAAAAAGGTCCCAGTAAACTGTCAGTGGGGGCAGGGTGAGGAAAGTATGTAAAGATATTTAAAAGTTTAAGAAAACTTCCTAGGACTCCTGCCAAATTGGCTGCCTATTAAAGTGACCTTCAAGGGTAGTTGAAGAATTCCATAAACTTGTATTGGCAGCACAGTAAGCTGATCGACAAGCTTGGAACAAGATGTTATCTGCTATATCTAACCTCTTTATAGAGAATTCCCTCTGCAGTGCCAGAGTTTCATTAATGTGGCCTACTGGGACTATGCATAAAATGTTCCACATCTCTTAACTCTTGATTTTTTTTTTGCTTTGCTTTTTTTTCCCTGTGACCCACAACTGATTGATACCGTATGTCAAATATCCCCAATCCTACTGATAGTACTCAGCTTCAAGACCAGAGAGTAGTACTTGTTTACATGGTGGATATACCATTTCAAACATACATTTATATAGTGGAAGGTACACTTTTATGGTGGGTCACTTCTTTTACTTCCCTTTTTCTTTTCCACCATTAGCATCTTCTGCTTAATAAAAAGTAAAGTGCTCTGGATTACTTGTATCTGGTTTGACAATTTTTGTTTCTCTTCTGTATTTTTATTCTCTTGCAGAGGAGTTTGTTCTGGCAGCTCAGAAATTTGGTCAGGTTACACCCATGGAAGTAGACATCTTGTTTCAGTTAGCAGATTTATATGAGCCACGGGGGTAAGTGAAGAATTGTCTATCTTTCCCTTTTTCCCTTCCTCCTCTCATGTTTTCTGAAGGAGTGGGAGGTGGTGGTAGGGAACAGAAGGGTGTGGTATAGTGGTCAAATGCAGATAACTCCTTGTGATCCAAAAACACATTTCTTAGCAGTTGCTAAGCTGAATTAATTTCCTCAGGCGTATGACATTAGCTGACATTGAAAGAATTGCTCCTCTGGAGGAAGGAACGTTGCCCTACAACCTGGCTGAGGCTCAGAGACAGGTAAGAATTGGAACCAGTAAGATGCTATTATGTATTGTGTTCTGTTTCTGGTATTACAGAGATAACCTACGTCCTTCTGTGTTCTGAGATTACTGAGTTACTCTACAGTATCTGTGAGGAGTATCTTCTTGTTAGAATTCATTTTTTAAGGTGCATCATGTCATTTTTATCTCGTCTCTGTGCCTTTTTCTCTTGGGATGCATTTTGACAGGTTAAATCTAATTTACTTTGGAAAGATAAAAATATATGAGTGTAATCCAGCCATTCAGTAAATATTAGATGTATACCTAGTTAAATTGTTTATGTTTCATGATTCTGTTGCTCTCTGTTGTTTTTAATAAGGAAAGACTTCCTGCTTTGAGTATCGATAGTAAATTCAGCATTTAGCATATTAAATGGCAACCCTTGTTCTGAAAATGCCCGCAGGTTCAAGGTTTCAGAGTATTCTCTGCTTTGCTCAGTGCTCTTCTGAGTATCAAAATAGGAGGGATTATGTTTAGCATACCATCAGTTTAAGTAAAATCATAAATATTCACTATTTAACCAAAGCCTGAAGGATATTGACTTTTTCCTGGTGGTCTAACAAAATGAACTTTTGTTCTGTTAGAGGCAAAAAGAAACAGGAATGTTCTTTAAATGTCAAACTTACTGAGCTTTTAGATTTCATGTCATTGTAGCATGTTATATTTTTTAATGATACAAGTTTCTATACAGATAGATTTAAAACTAACCATCTCTCTTTCTTTCTTTCTCTGTCTCTATTTTAAGACAATCTTAACTTTGTGTCTTGTGAAACCGTGGGGTTTTTTTGTTGTTTTTTTTCCTACTCTGGGTCTGTGTGGAGACGCCAGTTTGACCACAATGGGTTGATGCAAGCTACATTTTTAGGGCTACCAGGCTGTAAGCCAGGCCTGTGTGTGTATGTGTATACACACGCATCTCCTTTGCTTCTCTTTCTTCTTCTCTTCCTTCCCCTACACTTGGACAACCCCACTGCGACTCTAAGACGGTATCTAGCATGGCGGTTTTTTGTGTGTTCGAGCGGTGACTAAATGTTGACTGTGCTGGGTGAATTCAGATGAGTAGACTCGTAAAAGCTGACCATCTATTCCTAGAAGACTCCTAAAGGATTTAAAAGCTTGGTCTGAATATCAAGTAACATAAGTTACAATAGGTGGCAGTAAAATGCAATTGTGAAAGGGAAAACTTCTTCCATTTTTGCTTTGGGGACGCTGTCTCTTAGTATCATAATAAAGTGGGATTATAAAACTGTTATTGTAGGAGACATAAGGCCTCTGCATAATTTTGTTACGCTCATTATTTTCCTTCATTAGCTAGTGATTTTAAATTCGAGCAGTTCTGAAATTTATTTTTCATTAAGTTGAATCTGAACTCATGGACTGTGAGCAAATGAAATTGTAGGAGTGCTTTATGAAATCTCACTGTCCTTTAGCAAATGCTTGCATACGTGCTTTGATAGCCTGAGAAGTAAGAGGGATACCTATTTTTTCCATGCTAGAAAGAAATTCCAAACTGGAGTTGCTTTTAGCTGTAGAAAATTAATGACATAAGGCGTAATCTGTGCCCTCTTATGTATGAATTTGAGTTCTTGATTTTGGAGTTGTATAATTTCTTGTACCATCGGTCTTTCTTGTTTTTTCTATCCCAAACTGAAGAGGCTATGCTATATGATGCTTGGAAATGTGGATAAGGCATTTTATTATAAAGACATTCTCCAGTGCCTTCTGGGATTTCTACTAGTATTGATACACTTTCTGATCCTGAGATATTCTCTTAAGAAATGCAATACTCTGATTATTTTACTTGTCCTCCCTTTTATTTTACATCCTATCTTGACAGAAAGCACCAGGTGATGTGTCTCGACCAGTCCTCATCCAGATTGCAGAATCAGCGTACAGGTTTGCCCTTGGTTCAGTTGCTGGAGGTTAGTCATGGCTGAGCAAAGGAGTATTCATCTTCACTGTTTTTCCTTTCATACTTTTTCTTCTTTCCCACTTCCCCTTCTTTGTGCAAGACTTTCCCATCTTTCTGTTGAAATCCCTTTCCTTTCTAATCAGTGTCATGACTATAAGATGGCAGTGGAAGAGGTCATCTAGTCTACAGTAGTTTTGGAATTTATGAGCAATTGGAGTTTGCTGATGGTATTTCTACTTAATTTGTCACCAAAGCAGTTTCAGAAGAATCAGGTTAATAATGAAATAGAGTCAAGAAGTGCTTTTGGTTGAAATTATACGTGGTAGTTAGTTGTATCCAGAACATGATATTGAGAAAAAAGATACATCTGAGCATTGAGATATATATGTGGAAGAGTTGCAATTAAACACCACAAATGCAAAATCATTGTTTTCATATGGCTTGATTTTTATTTGCAGCTGTTGGAGCCACTGCAGTCTACCCAATTGATTTGGTAAAAACTCGTATGCAAAACCAGCGCTCTACAGGATCTTTTGTGGGAGAACTTATGTATAAAAACAGCTTTGATTGCTTCAAGAAAGTGCTTCGCTATGAAGGTTTCTTTGGGCTTTATAGAGGTAAGTTTGAAAGGTGGAATATACTATTAGTATATGAAGAATTAAGGAAAACTCTGAATTTTTAAGCCAATTTTGTTATTACTTCAATTTTGTCTGATTTGTACTTTTTCTTTATTTAAAGTCTTGCATTAATTTGCATTCCCATTCTAGCTGAATGGTTATGAATTTATTGATAATTAAAACCTCACTGTAATGAGAACACTGCTGTGGAACCTTTCCATCTGCAACAGGGCAAGAATTGCAATTTCCTGTAGCAAAAAGTATACTTTTAGTCAAGTTTTCATCTCCTTAGCAGTCCTTAGCACCAAGAAATTTTTGTCTTGTTTTGTAAGAAATTCAGACGAATTATCCTCTGTTTGTTTGTTTTTGTTTTAATGTCCTTTCTCATCTATTGTCTTTCTATTAAAAGCATCTGTGGAGAAAATATAGTACCTTTTTGATATTTTATATGACAAACCAGGTCTCTCCAAACCATTTTCATGTGCTTCACTGATCATTGGAAATTGATCAAGTTTTATGTATACCTTAGCTTAATATATGTTACTATTACTCCCAAGCTGTGAAATTAATTGTCCCACGCTCCCTCTATAGTAAATGGACAAAGCTCCAAAAGTTCATTTGCTCTGTCTGAGGTCTAAATCATCCCCATTTTGGACATTTTAAATAAGTACCTACATCAGATGATGGTTGTTTGTTAGGTTTTTTTGTTTGTTTGTTTGTTTCCCCTTGTCACAATTATGCCATCAATGATGTAAGTTTGAGTAAGGCAGAGGTAGTTAAAAGAATCATTAACTACTTCATAAGACTAGTTCCTCTCTGTCAAAGAGATAAATTGACTTATACTTCTAGTATCTGAATTATAGAGCTATTTCCCTCCCATCTGTGATGTTTGTTGGGGTGGATTTGAAATTTGCATTATTTATTTCATTTTTAGCAATCTAGCTTAGAAACTCCTTTTAGGTTTTGAAAAGAAGATGAATATCATAAAGAAAACAAATTTCTAAAAACAGTTGAATCAGGAATAAAGAATGGAAGATGTCAGTAAAGTATATTAGGGTCTGACAAAGCTATATGCACCTGAAAAGCAACAATAACAACAGCAAAAAACACAAACTGTTTTACAAGACAAAGTGTGAAACATCACTAAAAGTACGTGTTGCGGTACATTGACACTCTATAAGGTATGATCTCAGTTGCTGTAAGTTGGCTTCTCCTCAAAATACAAACTTTGTGATTATTTTAGCACAACTGGAAACGGGAAGTCTGTTCCTATTAAATATGATTGAGGCAATTTTTTTAAAGTAGGCTTAGTAATTTAATAACGGGTATTGACAGGGTTTCTATTTTGTAAGAGTTTATAGCAGTCATGATCGTAAAGGAAAAAAAAAAATACAGCAAAAGAACAGAATATATTCCCTGCAAATGTATTCCGTCTTCCATTATTTTGAAAGAATAAACATGCAGAATTCCACAACTCTTCACTCCTGTCTTATATAAATTCTGAAGTATAATGATTTTTTGCCTGGAAAAAGAAATGTCAAAATGTGGATTCTTGACTCCATGTGTTTGTCATATTTTTTAAAATGATTTCTTTATTGCCAAATTCAGTGAACTTTTGAAGTTTCCATCTGTATTGCTTATCTTTCCATTCTCTGTCCCCTTTAATACTTTTCAGTCTTCCTGGGAGTACTGAATAGTGAAATCCCAGACAGTTTGGTACAGCTGAACTTCTAAACCTTGGGCAATAATCTCATTTCTGGATTATATAGGAGAAACTGTGCAATAGAAAAGAACATCATTTCAGAAGCTGAGAACTGCATTTGTACACATTCGCTACCTAAAGGGCAGCCTGATTTAGCTTCTCTTTTAAAAGAGTAAAATGGTGAAAGAGCCTTAAAAGATATGACACTTCCTCTGTGCATTCCCATAATTGCCTGATTTCCACTGCATGATTTTTGAGGAGATCACACTGGGGAAGGTTGACCAGCCAAGTATAGAACGAAGGTTTCCAGTTAAGCTTGAGAGGGCAAGAAAATTTGAAAGAAACATTTTATAGATAGATCAGTGTATTTACCCAGTGTCATGCATTAAAGTTGAGGTAAGAGTCCTCTAATTCTGTTCTTAAATACTTTGCTGGGTAAGACAAACTAGTAAACTACTCTTGCTGCTCACTAGTATTCTTTCTTACATGGTGTTACATTTTTTTTTTTAATACTGCTGGAGAGGGGAGCAATATCTGATAGAATTCTCCTACTTAACAGAACAGTGATGCAAGACCTTTATTTTAGAACAACAACAAAAAACATGTAAAGATTTGGAGTGGTGGTCTGTTTGCCATACCACACTGCAAGAAAGCAAGCAGGAATTAAAAACCCTACTCTGAACTGAGCCATTTCAAAGATATTTTTAATACCAGATACATAGTTCTATCTAATGAAGTGAACTGATGTATTTCCTTGTATTGCTATTTTATTCCAAACTTGAAAAGGGCAAAACCACCATGTTCTAAACCACTGTCTCAGATAAGGATAAATTACACCATCTTGTGGATGTAAAGAGAGCACGGAATTCTGAGGATAACCAACACTTCTACTGATGCTTCGATTTTAAAAGGCAAATATGATACAAACCTCAGTAGGATCTTTAATTGTATAGTATCTACTACTTGAATGCTGTGTTGTTAGGCTGTTTTTTTTTCCTGAGATAAAATTTTCATGTGTCTCTTTCTCAGCATGGCTTAAAACAATTCTCACCTTAGATACCTTAGATACCTATAATTTAATGTTGTGGTTACACTTGTACCTGAAATGTGTATTCAGAAATTCACAGGTATTTATATAGATGCAAATATAAGAAAGTGTTGGAATCTCTGATCAGGCAACATCTCTTCCAATTGATGAAGTCATTTATATTTCTTAATAATATTTTAATTGCATGTTCACCTTAATGAGTCACAGAATGTTTAACAGTCTGAACCAGTGAGATTAAGAGATTATTTCATCTACTCTAGATGGAATTTCTATGGGAAATTGAAGTACCAGAGATAAAATGCAGCTCACTGAATTGTTCAGTAGTCATGCATGTTATTTAATGCACTTCACCTAGAGACTGAGAAAAGGGCTGTAGAAGACTCTGTTATCTATGGTCATTAGCTATTGAGAAATGTGTTAGTTTCATTTCTTCAGATGGTGCTTCTAACACTGCACTGGCTACAGATGCCTTCTAATCTTAGATTTTAAAATTCATTCATTCATTCCTCATCCAATTTAATTATTACTGATGGACTTTCATGCAAAGACCATGGCAAATACTTTCTTTTGGAATATGCAGTGAAGTACCATTTTTGTGGAATGGAAGTACAAGAGTCCTATTGTAATGTTTTGTCACAGCACAAAATATTCCTGAAAGAAATACCTAGTTTGCAGTCTCATTAAGTTGTGCTTAAATGTTAACTGGAAATTAATTGTCTAATTTCTTGTATGAATCCTGTAATAGGAAAACTTAGCAGTATTCTGTTCACACTTCTACACTGCATGCCCAAATAGTTTCAAATATTTAACCTATGCTGAGAAACTCCTTCATATAGTAGGTTTTTCTAATGTGATGGGAAAATCTCATCCATTACACAGTGTGAAACAGTTTCACTGTTAGAAGTCTGAAGAATGCTTTGGCCAAGTAAGACTTCTGCTCAATACCATCACCACAGATGGGTTGGATGAGCTTTTGTGTGTGTATTGTTTGGCTGTATTTAGGCTGTTTTCAAAAAGTAACTTGTATGATCTTGCAAACTCTGAATGCAGTTTCTGATGCTCTGTCTCACTCATAACTTCACTCTTCCAGGGAGTCATGGTGTGATGATGTGTCAGATATGAAGTAGTGTGTGGTAATTGCTACATAAGAGTTTTGGATATATGAAAATGGGTTGTATAATCTGTTTGCAGTATACTATACTAGCAGGCTGCTTATGTGCAAAATGTTATTCTGTAATAAAAGCATACATTCTTTAAGACACTGTCAGATAATTCTAACCCTGTCCTACATCTGTGCATGTGTCATATTGCTGAGCTGTTAATGTATAGTAATACTGAAAAATCCCCAGCATGTGAAGATAACCCCAAGAGAAAAATAGCATTTTCACGTGTGTCACTTGCTATGCTTTCTTTCTTCCAAAACTTACCATCTTTATCATGCTCTGAACTCTTTCAACAGTGTTTCAGAGCTCCCATCAAAAGGGTAAATAATAACAAGAATTTAGATAGGATAATTGGACCACAAAGGTACCACTCAGAAATAGCTTTGCTACATAGGTATAAAAGCAAGCGGAGTCCTTCTTCCTCCCTGTGCAGCTGGTGACAGCATCTTTTTAATCTCTGAAGATACAAATTCATTAGCCAAAATGTGTATACAAAGCCACATATGTCCTACAGATGTAAATTTAGATTAATATAAGAGTTACAAGGATAATTTGGTCCACATAAGGTTAAAGCTGTAAAGATATCCTGTACAATGTATATCCTAGTCTTTTATTTGTAGTGCTGCAGAAAATGTAATATTTAATTATACAATTTTGTCTGTCTTAATGTTTTTTTCACTGAAGTCACCTAATGCAGCTAAAATTGATTCAGAAATTTTGAAATGTAACTTAGCAAAATCTCTTATTTTGAGGAACTGTACACAAACTTAATACTACTGCATTCTTTTGTTCAAATACGTAGCCACACAGTCGTGATTTTCCACGAATCCAGGATAAATTGTAGGTGTATGTGTATACCAGAAATTAATTATTCTTTCCGACAATTTAAAAACAGAAATCTCAGTACTGCTAGTGCGAAATTTTAAAGGCATTAGTTTATATGCACAACTGACTTTTTGGCTACTACAAGCCAAATGGTGCTATCCTCTGCCATCTTTTCCTTGCTAAGATTATCACTGATAGCCAGTAAAGCTGATGAATGGTACCAGGATGGAAGAATACACCAGTGCATGTTCATTTATCTCTTTCTTATTCTGACTTTTAGCTCTTTGGGAAAATGCTTTTCTGCAAGTGAGCTCTTAGAAGTGGGATGTTAGTTGTTGTCTCTTTCTCCAAAATATTTGGAGAACTGTAAATGTCAGACTCTGTAGAAAGTACCCAGAGGTGCTGTCTAGGATGCTAAAGCAAAGGGTCTGCATCTAGCCTGTGTGACTTGAAGAGTGCCCTTGCCAACGCTTACAGCACTGTTCTAGCCCCAGGCTTATGTGGTAAGCTCTGTGTGCTTTGAGGTTGTGTAGCCCAAACAAGATACTGTCTGTTAACTTCAGGCAAGTGAAATGAGAAGTTAGGTTCTTGCTTTCAGTTCTATACTACATCACTTCTAACCAAATAAAACAGGAAATTCCATACCTGGGAAGAAGGTAGCATGATTTGTTCTAAGGACTGGTGAGTTAGCTGGGCAGTGTGCTCAAGAATGCAGTCGTCCATGTTCAGATGTTTTACATTATTTTGATTCCTGTCCCCTTGGGTTCCACCTTCTAATGCCATTGTTTTTGTTGCCAGAAAAAAAAGTTCTGCGGTCATGATTTTTGAAATAGATATATCTTGTATCTTACAGAATTTATTAGAAAGTCTTCACACATTTTCGTGTGGAAATGCAGAAAATAAATAAGTGTAGGACAGATAATGAAACATAGTTAGCAGATCTGTGTTGGTGTTTAAGTGTAACATGAGCTAATATCACGGATTCAAGAAAGCTAGAGTAACTATAGTGTATGTAGGAAGTTACTGTGACTTGAAGTGGTAGCACAGAGTTTGTTCTCAAAATGGAATGTTTAAGTACTCTCATTAAATATAATAACACAAAATTGCTGTAAAAATTGCCCGCTTCTAGGTGGTGATCTCTACATACATTTGTTGATTTGTTTAGTTAATACCAAGTTACTTGATGCACTGAATTCTCTTTTTCTACCTTACAGGTCTGTTACCACAGCTATTAGGAGTAGCACCAGAGAAGGCCATAAAACTTACTGTAAGTTTGCAAATGGATTATTCTTGCACTTCCTCACATTTTAAAGTCCATCTAATTACAGTTAGCTTGTTAAGGATTTTTATTCTTTATGTGTCAGCTAGTTGATAAAGCGCCTTCCATCGTTTTTGCTTGATAGAAACTTAATTGCACAAAGCAACTGTTTATATCTCACTTGTGAACACTGCAAGTGGCATACAAGTCACATGTTTCTCAGCATATTTTAAGAATCTTACTGAAAACTTATTTTTGGATTGGCTCCAAAATATAACAAGCTTATTCAACTTCTTCATCTGTCTGCTTGTTTGTAACTAGTGCAGGGCTTTGGTTTCACCTCTTAGCAAGAATGAGTAATTATTTATTGAGATTGGAGGGCTTTTGTTTCTGTTTCTTCACATAGTTCCTGTATGTTTAATTTTTGCACTACAGGAGATAATTTGAACATGGAGTGGAGTGTTGATAAAAAAGGAACTTGTTTGCATGCATTTTTTTCCTAAATGTCTGTCTTCTGTAATTTTGTTATTTCTTGAATGATTTGAAAACACTGAAGAATTTCTCATTATAGGCTGATCTTAATGCAATGGTTATTCACAAAAGCTAGTAGAATGCATTTTAAAACTTATTGCATTAAAACTTATTACTGAACGTTCTGATATTTGTTTAGAACTATACTTCAATTTGCAAATGTTGTGAATATTTCTAAAATCTTAAATGAGTTTACCATTGTTTTGATAGTGATTATTTTATTTAATTACCAATTGTTATCATTTTTCTCCGATGATTCAAAACTAAATGTTGCAAATCTTTGTCGGGAAGAAAATAATAGTCAACTTTAATATGTCATATAAAATCTAAGATTTGTTTAGTAACTTTTAACTGCATGGATGTATTTGCATTTTTAGTTTTTATTTTGCACAAAAAGAGCATTTTCCCCAACCTTGTAATTTATTGGCTTTCATCAATGTTTGTTTTTTAAGGTTAATGATTTTGTGAGAGATAAGTTTATGAGTAAAGATGGCTCCGTCCCACTGGCTGCAGAAATTCTTGCTGGTGGCTGTGTAAGTAACTTTAATTTCCTTAATTTGAGATACATGAAAGTACGTGTAAGATTACCTATGTGGACTAAGGCTTCTGTTTAACCACAGATCCGGTTCAAGAGCAGACTCTACTAGAGCATCTCAGTTCTTTCCTAGATAGGCCAGCCACTCTTGATGAAAGGGTAAATGTACCTGTGCATCATGCCTGTAACTGCACTGTATAATTCTCACAGCTCAGTTTGTTTCCTTAATACAGAATCTGTCTTTGTGAGTGTTGGCTGTAGCTTATGGCCTAAAGAGGATTCATGCTAACCTTTCCAGAAATTAATAATTAGCTACTACTTTGTGGCACCCACTCTGCCACGTCACTTCTTTCCTGATGTGTTATTGCGCCCACTAATTTTCACTTTTTGCAGCAATACTGGCTGTTTGAAATGGCAAAAACTACTCATGCTTCCTTGAGTTCACAGCAGACGTAGGCTGTCTAATGTTAACTCAGTACATAATGTGTTCCTGAATGTAGGCTGCAGTTAAAATCCACTATGTTTTTAAGATTGTTTTCCTTGCTCTGAGTGGTATCTTAATGAACGAGTGGTATATTCCTGGGTAAATGATAATACTTCACATTTTGGTCTAGTTCTGTCTGTTCATGTTACAGCTTACTTTACCTGGTGTATTGATTTTGTTCTAGCAAATGTAAATACGTTAAGTAAAATGAATAGTTATTCAAAGACCAGTGCATTTACAGATAAAGAACAGTGTTTATTTAAACTGGCTTTGATCACCAGGGCATAGCAATGTTGGTATATTTTCAATCTATCTTTGTTTCTGCTGTCATAAGACAGATGAGGTCACATTTTCAAGCAGCTTCTACCTGTGCTGAAAACTACAATTGAGCAGCTACTTAAAAACAAATTTTTTGCATCTCAGCCTCAGTCGGTGCAGAGATCCATTCTGTGTGTGCTCACAGAGGGAGAGCACACTACAGATTATCTCAGCCTGGGGTGCAGCGCCTTGATGCCTCACGGGCTGAGAAGCTCCAGCTTTCTGTAGTTCTCAGGAGATGGGGCAGGATTTGGCTGCTGTCTCACTGTGCCCTGTTTGATCACTGACCTGTTGTAGACTGCCAGGTAGGATCCCCTTGTTCTGTAATTCTAGCAGCATTCAGGGGAGGAAAAAAAAAAAAGAAGGGGGGAAGGAGGGAGGGAAGAAGAATGTGGGGCTCTGAAGTCCTAAATAAAAAGCATGCTGTAAGTGAAGGGAAAATGCAATAAACTACTTGCAGAGTAAAAAGTATTTGCCCCTTACACTAATAAAACATCTTATGAACATAGCAGCCATAGAAACTAAGCAAAATTTTCATTTAAAATGTCATTTATTCTGGAGTTTTTATTTTTACAGACTGCTGTGAATTTTTTTAATGCAGTAGAAAAAGCACTCTTTACAGAGACCTGTCATTCACCGGCAAGCTTTTTGCCAGCAGTTCATCATAAACCAGGGATCTGCTTTCAGAGATAGGTGGCTTGAGATGTATTTTAAACATGCTGTAACTGTTGGCTCGTTGCATTTGGAATTCGAAATACATATGAAGAATGGGATGCTGCACGAGGTTCTAGCAGCAGACGTGCGGTGGCAGAATGCCCTGAGTTTCCTTTTAACTGCGAAGTGCTCCTTTTAACTTAAGGGCATAGTCTGGTGCCAGGCAGATAGGTTGCAACTTGTCTCAGCTGCAGGTGGTCTTTGTTTTTTTTGTAATTTTAAACCGAATTCAGCCTAGGAACACAGACTGTCATGACAAGTGGTGCCTAGCTTTTCGAGGAAAAGAGATGGGTTTTCCTTTCATGATATAAACATATGCATAAAATGTGAAATGCCAAAGGCAGGCCTCTCCTCGAGCTTCTAGAGTTGGACTGGCCCAACCTTTTGTCCCAATTTCAGTTCATGTGAAACTTGCGCTTTCAGTGGAAGCAGCAAGGACATTGTTGAATGCTTTTGAAAATTTTTGGTCTTGGATTTTACCTCGTTTGAAAGTGTAACAATCCTGTATAAGGGAGGCAAGGAGAGAGGAGAGATGATGTGTTACAGTCTAAAAAGGTGCAGCCAGCTAGGAGGTGTTGTATAAAAAGAAAGCTGCCCTACCACCTTTCCACTCTCTATATCTAGTTTTCAGCTGTGATTGTGTTACAGACACTGATATTACATTTTCCTTTCTCCGTGCTTGTATGTCCCTGGAGCCCATTCATTCTTTATGCGAGGGTTTTGTGCTGGGATGTGTGGTAGATTTCAGTGCTTTAAATACCAGCCCCACAAGTTCGTTACAGCATTTACAGTTATAAGAAAGGGAGGACCAAGCAGATTCTTGGGTTTTTCTGGCTGTTCAGTAACACAAAGGGCTTTGAAGGGGTCAGTATCACCTGAGCAGCTCCACTCTGCTGTTCGTCCAACCATTGCCAGGCGTTGACTTTTAAGTCCCTAAGGAGCTCGCTTTGCATCATAATTACTGAGAATTAGTACACATGGCTGACTTTTGCACTTGTAACTAAAGCTGATTGTTTCATTGAACAAGTCTTTTTCTGTTTTGTAAACTGTTTTCTCTGCGGAAAAAAAAAAAAGAAAAAAAAAAAAAAGAAGAAGAAAATAGAAAGATCTTTTACTCCATGACCTCGTGGCACTTAGTTCAGTAAGCAGTGTGTTTCATAGATTATTATGTGAAGAGGAAAGTGATAGATTGTCTGAGATTTTTTTTGAGACCTCCAAGAATACAATTAAAAATACAACCCTGGTGTTTTTATACAGTATCTGAAGGAGGATTTCTGTGTAAATACTTGCTTCAAAATTTCCATCTCCTTTGTAGGAATTTGTCTTAGTGACTCTAGTGTTTGCTACCTATGAAAATATATGGAAAGATTTGCTCAATGCCTGACACCTACCATGAACACAGGCCTCTGCTATGTAGTTAAGACTCATCCAAATCCTATATAGCTCTTACCATTACTAGAATAGTAAAGAGCTCCAGTACTAAGATGTAGCATAATGATATTATAGAGCTATGATCTGCTAAGCATCTAAACTAACTTAGCATCCTCAAAAGAAAAAGTGTAAAAATATGTTAGGTTTGATTTCAGCTGATGCTGGCTGTAACTTCCCTTCAGGGAAAAGGATGAGTTTGAGGAAGCACTAAATTCAGCTTGAAATCTCTTCATTTACAGTGACAGTAATCTTGTAGTTTATATACATCTTTGTTTTCTATGATCTTTAATTTATATATTGAAGTAAAGAATAATCACTACTCCTACTGATTTTATATTACTTGCTTTTTTAAACCTAATTCCCTGAAAAGCTTCATTAAAAACAGATTGATGGGTTTTTTTAATACAGTGCTGATTATTATTCCTATTTTGGGATTATATTAGCAGATTAAAAGCTGTTTAAAAGTGGCATAGAGATTATTATTATTTTTTTTTTTAACTGCTGCCACTTAGTTACTGCTAAGCTTTCAGATGAGACAATAATTTTGCTTATTTCCATAAATATGAAGCAGTTCCACATTTAACTGAAAAATATGGTTTGTCTCTGGAATTGTCAGTGGAAGAAATGTGAAGATTCAAAATAGAGTGCTTAGAAAATACACACAAAATATTAAGAAAAATGGAGGAAGTATTGTAGCACGGCTGAAAAGAAACAGCTTTTTAATATATGTGGACTTGTCTGCATATAGCAATACAATTATAGAGGTAAATCAGAGGCCCAATGTTCTACAAGAAAAGGGAAAAACATTTTGCTTTGTAACCTTTCCTCCTACTCTCCCTCCTCTTTCCAAGTGCTCAGTCTTTTTCTTCCCAGCTGCTCAGTGTGCACTCACTATTAGCCAGTTTAAGTCGTGTAGCACAGTACAATTACAGACCCCGTACAGATCTGCTTTTATTTAAGCTGTCAAGGCAATTATAGGCATATTTCTAGAGACTTTATAGCAATCACAGTAAAGTTGAAACATAATGGACCTGCTTGGGCAACCTCAACTCTGCCATGGAACATAAAAATTAGATATGATTAAGATGGGGTTCATCTAGAAAGTGCAAAATCCTGTCCAGAACTAATTTTTATAAAGGCGTATGATGTGAAATTCCAGATGAATTGTGTCACATAACCAGTCCAGTGCAGATAGTTTTATTAAGCTACTCACAGCGTTTGTTTTATGTTTCAGAGAGCAATAAAGATAAGTCTACATCTGAGCTGCATTTTCTCTGTTGAATTTTAGTAGAGGCAGAGAGATGGACCATGATTCTTAGATTACGTACAGAAATTCAGACATTGCTAAGTTGTGTCTGAAGGTATCGATCTTTTTTTTTCATTATTCAGAAACCGAAGTCTGACAAAATTCTCTTCTATTTGGCAAGGAACTCTGAGCTATGGGTAAAAATGAAACTGAGCGTTAAGTAGGCGGGGGGGTGGAATCTCTGTATGTATATCTGAAAAAGAGAATTACAAACTGCTCTTGCAGAGACCAGTTTTGTTATAGTTTATTGAGATAAGGTTAAGTAATAATGGTCTTTATGATTGCTCATATTAGCTTTGAAAGCAAATGGCATATGTTTCTTGTATTCTTAGCAGATTTACTCCAAGAAGTCCTTTCTCCCTGTAGCCAGAGACCATAACTTCCATTTCACTTTAAAGGGCAGTTGTACACATATAAAAGCCCAACGGTCACATTTCTTGCTTATGGAAAGGTTCAAAGGGCTCCTAAAACTATTATTTTTCTTGATGAAAATTAAAGCTTGCTACATGGAATTTATTTTGTTAAATACATGAATTAGATTTAAAGTATGTTTAATTAATGTAATGGAACAAAATACACTGAATATAGTGTAATTCATTAGATACTGAAACGTATGGTTTTCTCCTCTGAGCTACTAATTGCAGTTGTTTTTAGCATACTGGTTCTGACCGATGTTAAACTTCTGGTTTAAAAAAAAATAAAATGGAGCAGTTTGATATGGACTTAAAATAACTTCACTTTTGCA